AATAAAATTATCATAAAACCACAAAAATCCCAATTTGAGTAAAATACCAATAAAATCTTATTTTGGCAATTTTTCCATATTTTTTTCTTTATTTGATCAATTTTTAAACCTTTCATGGCGGTTAGACCTTCAAAATAAATAAATAATATTTATTTATTTTAGACAACATTCGGCCACCTCCAAATAGATTATTGGAGGGAGGGAAGAGGGTCGTTAACGCGCACTTTTATTGTCTTTTTATTTTATGTTCTTTTAAACAATTTCCCGATTTTTTCTTTGCTTTTCTTTTGGTATTGCTAAACAGAAAAAGGGGAAAATGGGAAAAGAACATTAAAAGGTAGATATGAGAACGTCTGAGTCTAGGCCCCATAACTCAAGAAGGGATCAGCTTTTCTGAAAAATTTAAGCACCGTTGGATAGAGGAGAAAATTGGCTATAAAATGATATATGAAGCAAAACTGAAGCTTTTCAAATAAAAAAGTTATGGGCAAAAAACTAGACGTGGATTGGAGGGGTAGTTATAGTTATTCAGAAGTTTTTAACCAGAACTTTTTCTGAAAAAATTTTTTTTGAAAATTTTAAGCAACGTTGGATAGAGGAGAAAATTAGCTATAAAATGGTATATGAAGCAAAACTGAAGCTTTCCAAATAAAAAAGTTATAGGCAAAAAACTAGACGTGGGTTGGAGAGGTAGTTATAGTTATTCACAAGTTCCTTCCCTACAACTTTTTCTGGTTAAAAAATTAAAATTCAGATTTTAGGCGTATTTTGTAGCAAATTCAATTTACTATCTAATGAGATAAAAAAATTTAGAAAAAATTCTAAGACTCAACGGAATAGCAATAAAAAAAAAGAGAAGGTCAACAACGATTGTGAAAATCGTGGTCTTTGCGTTCCGTAAAATTTTATTATTGGCTATAATAAAGATTGGAGCAATAATGATTTAAAGAGAGGAAAGTGTTCGAGAGCGGCGGCCATAAATGAGATTTTTTGGGGAAATGGGGAATTAGTGCTTTTTATTTTTGAGCAGATGGGAATGGTAAAATAAAGAAAATTGGGAAAAGTAGGGATCAGAAAAAAAAGAAAAATTTATTTAAAATATCTGGCACAAGTAAAAAACATTTTCGATTGGTAAATCTTTCCCCTAATTTTTAGAGAAATTTAGGAGGGGCAGCAGAATCTTAGATCCCCCTTCAGGAATGAATTTAGTTGACTATTGTAGGAAGGTCTAGGCTTTATAACTAACAAGGGGTCTTTGTACTTTTCTTGAAAATTTAAGTACCGTTTGATAGAGGATAAAATCTGCTACAAGAAGTTATGTATAAGAATCGAAACTGAAAAGGTTTTCTGAAAGTAAGGAAATAGAGGGAGATATGGAAGGAGACTGTAAGAAGGACTCGACTTTATTTGGACTTAATAAATCATATCCTTTTGACTATTAATTTAAAATAAAAATCATTTTTAAGTAAAATATGTAAAAGAAAAATAAATAAAAAAATAAATAAAAAATAAAAAAATGTCAAAAGTTAGGGCCCATTTTTCACTTCTTCGATTTATTTGATCGACTGCGCGAAAGTAACGAGAATAATAGAAAATAATGTCTCGAGAAGGCTTTATTTATTTAATATTATCGCCTCAAAATAAAGAAAAAATATTAGAAATGGCTAGTAGCCTTTTAATAAAAATATTATTAGATAGACTAGCCCACAGCGTGAACAAACAAACAGAAAAAAATTTTGAGGTTATAAAGTGAAAAGTATTGAGATATTGAGTAGGGATAGAGGTTAATAATTCGAAAAAGTCTTAAATGGGGGTTGTTTCTATTAGAAAACTTGAAATAAAATGACCGGGAATAAATTGGGAATAAAATATAAAAGTTGTTATTTAAATTCCGGAAAATAGATAGATGTTTCCGGAATCAGAGAAGTAAAGACTTGTCTCATAATTCAGTTAAGTCTCTGCTATATGACTAGAAATAAATAAAACTTTCCGGAAAGTTTAATTAAACATACCTCCCTGAAATGTTCCCTATTCTATTCCGGAAAGGAAATATAAACTATAAATATATTTCCGGAAAATAAAAAATACTTCCGGAATCAGTTAGAAAAGTGAAAACTACTATAAAAACAGAAATAAAATAAAACTTCCGGAAAAGTTCAATTAAATTTAAATTCCTGAAAGGTTCCCTTTTTATATTCCGGAAAGGAAATATAGACTATAAATATATTTCTGGAAGGAACACAAAAGAAATTTTATTTATATTTTAGAGGTCAGCAATAATTCCGGAAAAATTATAAAAATATTTATATTTTCCGGAAGAGTCAATTAAAAAATAAATTTCCGGAAATTTGTTTCTTGAAATAAATACTTCTCTTTTACAATTTTTAAAAATATCTAAAAAATATTTTTGGAGGATTAAAGGCATGGGAATGTAACTCTACTACTAAATTTGGTGGAAGAATAAAATAAAAATGGAATTCTTAGAAAGTAACTGGCAACCGTCCCCAAGGGTTTTTGACTTATTTTTATTCTTTTCTTCTTTACAACAATCCCATTTTTCAATTTGAGTTTGAGTGCAAGGAGGAGGAGGGGGTTCTTTTTGTATTGAAAAAAATTTTTTGAGAGCAAAGTGAAATAAGTAGGAAATAGGGGAAGGGACCACTTATTAAATAAAAATAAGAAAATTTGTTTTTTTTACAATATTGGAAATTGAAAATAAAAAATATTGGTTCCTTTAGCAGTTAATTTTAATGAAATTGCTATTTCTGAAAAATGTTGCTATATTTTTATGCACTAAAATTTAATCAGAATTATTAAAAAATACATACCCAACTAGAATTATAAAAAATCAGAATGTAGGGGATAACTTAAAAACAAAAAACAAAAATCAGAATTATGTATTAATTACTAAAATTAATTCTGATTTTTGTGTTTTATTTTTAGTTATTTTCGCTTAATTCTGATTCTGTATTTTTGTATTTTTTTAGTTGGGTATGTATTTTTTAATTCTGATTTTTGTGTTTTAGCCTTCCTATTAATTAATTCTTGCCTAAAATAATAATTCTGATTTTTGTATTTTTGTTTCTGAATTCTGATTTTCCTACAAATTTTTTTCACAACAATAATTCTGATTTTTTGTATATTTAATTTTAAAATTCTGATTTTTATTTAAGTTAATTCTGAATTAATTCTGATTTTTATTAATTCTTAATTGTAATTACAAATTATAAAAATTAAATTATAAAATTGTAAAAACAAAACAATTAAATTCTGAGGTTATTAAATGACAAAAAAGGTTCGTGCAGTCTTTTTGGAGATTTTGTTAACATTTTTTTCTTTTCTTAAATTATAAAAATTAATTTTAAAAAATAATCAAAATTTTCTACCCCTGATATTATTAAACATTTCATTTGCTTGAAGTTCACATTGTTCTGAACGTTGTTTTAGCCTTTGCTTTTCTTGTTGGATGCGGCGAGGCAATCCAGAAGAGTTTATTTGTTGTTGACAACTTTTGGGAGAAAAATGATTTTTAATTTTGAAATACAGTTAAAACACTTATAAATACACCAAATACTAGATAATAGGATTGGTGGTACCGGATATCCGTATCCGAAAAAAGTCGGGATATCCAAAAATTTCCCAAAATCTGCTAACTCTACTATATCACCCTTCAATTTAAAATACGTTTTCTTTTAAGATTTGGGTAGTCAATAGGTAGAGAAGAGCCTAAACGAATCCCTTCCAATTTAAGATACCGTATTATCTCGATTAATTCACCTGGGGAATTAATTCCCTTGAATTTTTTCAACCCATGCTTGGTATGGGGAATTAATCGAAAGAGTGGGGAATTATTGTTCATAATTCCCCATTTAGGGGTGGGGAATTATTGTTTCAACCCAACTCTAGCATGGGGAATTAATCGAGAGGGTCCGACTAGAGGGTCCGAGAGGGTCCGATAATGAGGTCCGACTATTTAAAATATTCAGTCGTAATTTTTCTATTAAAAATACCTTTCTAGATTAGAGCAACACTTTCCTAAATTTTGACAGTGTTGTTGTACCCTAGCAAATTGTTCTGGACAATTAAGTTGTGGAGGAAGAGGTGTTAGTACCGGCCAGTTTTGACATTGAGGTGATGACTAGATGAAAAATCAAAAAATTTTTAAATTTTAATCAAACAAAAACACCTTTATTGGCCTTATATTTTTCTCCTTTTTTAAAGAATTTTCAACACATTTTAATGTTTCCCTTTCCAATTCATTTATTGCCACTTCAACACGTTTAAATAATGGCAGTAAACGTGAATTACACCTTTCCGATGCTGAACGTCTTCTTTTTTGTTTATTTTTATTTTTTGTTTCAAACAAGGGAAATAGAGAATCGGAAGAACAATTTGAAGATTTGAGTTGTTCCGAATAATTTTTACAACTAATAAAAAGATGGCAGTGGTTGAGATTGAGGCCCAGTCTTTGTGAATTCTGAAATGAAGAAAAAAAAGTAGTATTGCTTTAATAATTCTGATTTTACATTTTAAAATACAGTTTCAGTGGAATTTTACTTTGGTACAACTCATGGTTATTCGAAGAAATTGTCGAGCTGAGTTTTCGGAAACAATTATGAACAGAGCTATAGCCCTTAGAAAAACTCTGATTAAAAAATTAGCCCTACGAACATCCAAAAATCATGGTTTGTCCCCTCGATTAAAAATATAATCAAAAATGGTCATGACTTTCCAATCAGCTCAGATAACGTTCATGAGCTCAACGAGCTCTTACGTCAAAATAAAATGCACCCATAAACTAGAGAATCGTACGAGATATCCCGAAAAGCCTGTTCTTGATACAATAATCGAGAGCTTTGTTCGAGATCTCGTCTCAATCATTCTCTATCTGAAACTGTGTCCAATTTGAATAATTTTAATTTTTACAAATTTTAAAGAGAATTTTTTATTTTAATTTGTAAGCTAGTAACTCGAAAGGCTCCGATTAAAAAAAATTAAATTTAATTTACCTCTTTAGAATAAAAAAGAATTTTTGGAGGTTCAATAAATCTCTTCTGTTTATTACTCTCTTTCATTTCCTCTTTCCTCTTATTTTTCAAAAATTTTTCCAAATTTTTAATTAAAGCGTGTCTCAAATGTTCCAATTCTTCTCTACTACTAATTAATTTATTTGGCAAATTATTTATTTTTTGATTTTTTATTAAAATTTTTGACGATTTTTTAGTCAATTCCTTCGAATTTTTTGTTGTTTTTATTGTTTTTGCTGCGGCCAAATGGAAATGATTTTTTGTTAAATTAACTGAAGAAAAGGAAGAAAAAGGCAAAATTGTTTGGTTGTTAAAGCTGTGTTTAGTTGATTCTAGGGTGATTTCAACACGTCTTTTAGGCGTCTAAAAACATTGTTTTTCTAAACGGAAAAACATTTAAACATTACCTCCAATTGTTTCATTACTGTCTGACCAGAATGACGAACAACATTTGTTTTTGTTTTATTGTTTTGTTTAGACTGTGTTTTAGGCAATAATGTTGTTGTTGTTGTTGTTGTTGTTGTTTTCTGATGTTTTTTGTTTGTTTGGGTTGACGGTGAATTTAACAACTTTAAATAAAAAAATTAAAACTTTCCGGAAAGAGTATAATTTATAAAATAATTTTCCGGAAAAGAATTATTTTAATATAAAATTCCGGAAACGGAAATATAATAAATAAACTTTTTCCGGAAAAGTATATTTACATTATAAAAATTCCGGAAAGAATATATAGCTAATATAACCTTTTCCGGAACAATATATAAATCCGGAAAGAATAATATGTATAAATATTAGTGACCTTTTCCTGAACAACATACTTATATATAATTAATAAAAACTTTCCGGAAAAAGTATATGTATTTAAATTATAAAAATTCCGGAAAGAATATATAGTTAATACAAACTTTTCCGGAATAATAAATAATTCCGGAAAGAATAATATGAATATTACGGACCTTTTCCGGAAGAATATATAATTCCGGAAAGAATAATATAATTATATTACGGACCGTTTCCGGAAGAATTATGCATATACTATAATTAATAAAAACTTTCCGGAAAGGCTGTTATAAATAAATATTCTATTTATTCTGCATAAAATATTATATAATTCCCAACTTTCCGGAAAGTTTTAATTTCAAAATACACAAACTCCATTTTTCTGTGTAAAAGGTACAAGCACATCAATATCCTCCCAACTTTTAGGATCAATCATAGTTTCGGTGTCCGACTTATCTTCTTCATTTTCTTTCTTTTTTAATTTTGTTTTCATTGTAGTAGTTTGTTCTAATCTTTTTTTAGTCCAGATTTGGGTAAATTTCATATTATAGAGGGAAGTTGGGGGTGAAGTTGAGGAAGGGGGAGAAGAGAAGGAAAATTTTGTTTTTTCTGAGGGTGTTGTTTTTGCTACTGGAGGTGTTGAGGAAGACATTTTTGAATTTTTTACATTTTTATTATTACTATTTTTGGTAACATTTGTTTTTATTACTCCATTTATCACTCCAAAAGCCTTTAAAAAATTTTTAATAAGAAATTAATTAGAAAATAACACCTTTGCAGAAAGTGCTGCTTGTTGTTTTCTTATTTTTTCTCTAGCTGCCTTTGCTGCATTCATTAAACGCCAAGATTCAAGTTTGGCAAGATGAGGACGAGCAGCTAGAATCTGAACAAGAAAACTTAAGTCTAGGTTAATTTCATCGGTATATTTTCGAGTATTTTCTTTCCGGATCTTAATTCATATTTATTATTCAAAAAGTTCTAATTTTTCCGGAGTTTAATAAAATTCCGGATTTTTCCTGAAGTTATTTTCTTTCCGGAAAGTATTAATTTATATAGCCATTCCGGAAAGTTTATAGTATTTATAATTTAATTTATACATATTTTCCAAATTTTTTTCTTTCCGGAATACATTATTCTCATTCCCGATAAGCTTTCTCTCAAATTTTTCCGGAAAGTATTCATTTATATTCCATTTCCAGAAAGTTCTTATAACTTTTATGTTGTCTAACTCACCCCCATTTCCGTTAAATTAACCCATGAAGGGAGTGCAAATGATTTTCTAGCCCCAAACTTGTCTGTAAATTTGTTATTCCCAACAATTTGCTTAATAGCTGCTGCCGTTTTTCTTTGTTGTTGTACTCGTCTAGTTGCAGGGAAAATTCCTTTGGGTTGGTGATCAGCCATATATTGGGAAGGGCGATTGGGGAAATTTTGGGAGAATTTCGACATCCATTCTGGGGGGCCTTAAAAATTAAAAAAAAATTTTAAATTAAAATCCTGAATTACCCGAGGGTATATCCATATCATTTTCTGTCCCTGTATTAGTCATTACTCGCAATAATCTAGCTAAACGGCGACGCTCTTTTTCTAAATTTTTTGCAAATTCAATTTGTTCTTTGTTTTTATTATTTTTTGACTTTGTTGTTGTTGACTTTGTTGTTGTTGATAATATAGTGGTTGTTGTGGTTGTAGTTGAATAATCAGTGGAGAACTCGTTAGATTCAGAAGGTGTTGGGTTTCGAACAAGTACATTCTTTAATTAATTTTTGTGTTTAAATTTAGTGGTAATTTATATTCTCTTTCCGGAAAAGTTAAATTTATACATTTTCAGGATTTTCTATTTTTTCCGGAAAATATTAATTTATTCTATCCACGTTCCTTTAACATAGTATTTTTAGATTAAAACTTTCCGGAATATTGGAAATTATATTTCATAACAAATAGAATATCTTAGTTATAACAGCCTTTCCGGAAAGTTTTTATAGATTATATATTTCTTCCGGAAAAGGCCCGAGATATTTATATTATTCTTTCCGGAATTATATATTTTCAGGAAAAGGTTTTACTATCTACTTATATATTCTTTCCGTAATTTTTATAATGCAAATATACTTTTTCCGGATAAAGTTTATTATGTTTCTCTTTCCGGAATTTTATATTAAAATAACTTTTACGGAAGTCTACTAACTACCTATATTCTTTCCGGAATGATTTTCCCCCCTACGGGAATGGGTACAAACCACTTTTCCCCTAATGGCGTTGCCCTTCTCAATATTTCCCTATTTCCCCAAGACCCGTCTGAAAAGTACCCTTACGTATAAAATATTTTTTAAAAGCAAAGTCCCACCTCAATATCAATTTTATTTCCATAGGGAATTATTTGTTGTTTTGTAGGGAAAAGATGTGAGGCTGGAATTGTGCCTACCCCAGCTACCACAACTTGTGTTGGTGATAATTCTTTATTTTTTATTGAATGTTTTTTGTTTCTATTTATTTTTTGAAGACAGGAACGCATTTTTCTTTTAGAAGAGATTCGGCGTTTGTGACGAAGTTGAACACCAAATTCATTTTCTTGGTTTAGAAGATGGAGACAACTGCGGGAATTAATGAAAAATTAATGAGTAGAAGTACATAATTGTTCTTTAAAATTGACTGAAAAAGAACTGAGTAGAACCTATGAAGAGCCAAACTAGAGCTAGTACAATAGAAATGGTATGCTCTACCTGTCTACCAAATTTCATCCCGAAGTCCCACGGACACCCAAAAGCCTCTCCTTTGTAAGAGTAACAAGGGTTTGTTTGGTTGCTTTTAAAAATATTTTATAAAGTTCACCTCAGTTTAGCATGATTTCCTTGATTTTGAAGTTGAACTCTTCTCCGCTCACAGGCCAGAAATTGTTTACAACTGTTATGTTTGTTATTGGAGGTATCAGAATCTACCTCAACAATATCTTGCTGATTTTGCTGGAATATTTACTATAAGCCGGACCTTATTATATAACAGCCGAACCCCCTGAGATAGGAAAATCGTATCTTATAACAACGGATACTTTAAATAGGGAGTTCGATCAGGCAACCCTTCCTCCTTCATCTAGTAGCCAATTAAGTTTCAAAAGGCGTATCTTAAGAAAGTGAGGGTGCTCTTAAATGGAGGAGATGAGGTATATATTGAGGTGTAGCTTAAATAGAGGGTACCCTCATTAGAGATCGGTATTTTCAAAAATCCTGGATCTGGATTTAGGTTAGTAACTTGGACAGGATTCTGGATCCAGAAAAAATCCAGGACGTTCAAAAAATGTCTGGATCTGGACTTTGGATCCAGGAAAAATCCAGACTGGATCCAGATCTAGACCGATCTCCAGTGGCATCAAAATTTAAAAAAAAGTAAAGCGATCGGATTCAGGTGCATCTGATAGTGAGGATTAACCATTTTTCAACCTACTTTTCCTTCAAAACCAAGTTTCCTTTCATCACAAACAACACGTGTCGAACAATACAAAAATAATAAAATCAGAACAAAATGTTTGAATAAAATAAAATAATTTTGGCATTTTGTATTAAAAAATTTAAAAAATGACATTTTATCCAATTTTGAGGGTTAAAGTTTTCCTCAAAAAAATTTTTTTAATTAAGCCAATTTAAGTTTTCACACCTTTTTATTGTTTTGATAGGTTAATGAGGCGAATAATAAATATTTTGATGTATTTGAATAGAAGTTGGGGAAGGGATTCTCTCTTAATTTTTAATTAGAAAAGGGGAGGAGAGTCAAGATCTGGAAATATTTTTAAAAAAATATTTTTTGAAGACACAAAACCTGTTCAAAATCTCTCTCCTCTTCCTTCTCAAGAAGAATTTCAGGTGTTTTGGAAAATTAAAAGAGAAGATTAAAAGAAAAGACATTTGATCCCATTTTGGGTTAAATTGTTGTTCCGGAAGAAGACTTTTATTAAATATAAAAAATAACAAAGACTTAAAAACAAAAAGAGGAGAGCTCTTCATAAAGACGAGAATTAACTACTCCCCCCTCCTCTTTTCTTCAACTCCTCTTTATTTGGAACTTTCTCTAATTTTTAGATTTAAATCTATTTATGAACCAAACGAGTTAATTTTTTATTTTCTCGTTTTTAAACCTGAATTTTGAACTAATTTTAATTTTTTATATAATAAATCATTTTTATTCTTCTTTGTTAAATAAAAAAACTCCATGTCAAATAGGACACGAAAAATTTCAAAACGTCAAATAACAAAAATTCAGAAAATTCTGATTTTTTCTGCTAAGTTTTATTTGATTTTTCCCTATGTTCGATTATTGTTTTTATTAAATTCTGATTTTGTTTTTAATTGTCTTAAAACCAGTTATGTATTCTGGTTTTTTTTTGTTATTATTTTGTTGTTGTATTTTTCTGATTTTTGTATTTTGTGTTTATTTCAGAATTTTAATTTTGAATTCTGGTTTTTCTTTTTTTTGGGGGTTTTATTGTGTATTTTTTTTATTCTGGTTTTACTCATGTGTTTGTAAATTCTGTTTTTAAATGTTTTTATTCTGATTTTTGTATTTTCGGAATGTTGTGATTTTCTGTATTTTCCGGAATATTCTGATTTTTTGTATTTTCCGGAATATTCTGATTTTTTGTATTTTCCGGAATTTTTAGTGTATCCCCTTCTTATTCTATTCTGATTTAAGTAATTCTGATTTTATGTGTTTGCAAATTATGATTGTTAGTATTTTAAATTCTGATTTTATATTTTTAATAATTTTATTCTGAAGTGTTTATTTCTTGTTGTAATTCTGATTTTCTTTTTGTAAATTCTGATTGTAAATTTAATTTCTAATTCTATTTATTCTAAGTTTTAATTCTGATTTTTTATTAAAGTTCGACTAGATTATTTTTCTGATTTTCTGTTTTTCTTATTAATGAGTCCGGAAATTTTTATTTTTAATTTTAAACAGAAAAATTCTGATTTTTAATGAGAAACAAAAAAGTTGTCAAATTTCAACAAACTTTTATTACAACAACAGAAAAATAATGATTATCACAGGTAGATATAAGGAAAAATACAATAATTTATAGGAAAATATTTAAATAGGTATTTTCGGGGGAAAGGGATACCTATTTTTTAAATTTATTTTGGTGAAATATCCTATCCAAATCTTTTCTTCTTCTCACTCTTCCTAATTTTCTTCTTCTTCTTTGCTTCTTCTGCCGCCTTCCAGTTAATTTCCGCCGGTTCGTGAACAACACTCTTCTTCTTCTGCTGATCAGTCTTAAAAAGTAAACAAAAAATTTCAGTTTAAAATTCATTTTTCGACTCACTTCCTCAGCCCATCCTTCATTTGGTTCCTCTGTTCCAGCCAAACTTTTACCCGTCTTCAAGATCTCAATAGCAGTATTATCATCATCCTCCAACAAATCGCTGTCCCTTTCGAGGCTCAAAAGATCCGAATTATATTGAGAATTTTTGTTCATATTCGAGGAATTGTTGTTTTGAGATGAAGTTGGTTGATTATAGTATTTCTGAAAAAGAGAGGAAATTTTTGGATTTTTAAAAGAATTTACACTCACGTTCCTCCTTTGCATCCTCATTCGTGCCATGTTGCGGGCACATCTAGCATAAGCATCTTGGCGACGAGCCTCCCTCCGATGTTCTTCTTTGCGTTCCTCAATCATCCTTCGGTTTCTCTTCTTCAGGTGTTTGTAGTAACAGTTAATGATTGAGGTGATAAGAAGAAGGCCAATGAAGATTGAGATTGGGATCAAATAATGGATGTATGGAGGCGTTTGGTTGATTGTATAAGTACCCATGTGGTAGACCATAACTTTGAAGCAGCCAGAAAGTAGAGCAAGGAAGCTTGTCACAAAAAATCCCAGCCGAAGAATCAGCGCGATCTCTATATCGAGAAGTTCTCCACGAAGTAAGTATTGCTTGTCACTCTTTGTATAGTCAGCGGAGACATTAAAAAGACAATAGAGGCCACCAACAAATATAAAAAAAGCCACAATGAACGTAATCGTGGCAACGACTTTGAAGTTTCCAGAGCCAGGATCAGATGTGGTTGTTGCTTTAGGTGTTGTCGTGGTTTGAGGAGGTTTTTTCCTTGATGTTGAAGTCTGTTTAGGTGTGGTGATCCTGGTCTTTGTTGGCGGTAGTGGTGACGTTGTTGTTGTTGGAAGTGGATCCTTTTGTCCCAGCAAAGTGTAGTCTTTTGTATGCTGAATAGAAAAAGGAAAAATTTTGAAATTTTATAATAAGATTTGAAAATCCTTACAAATTTGATAAAAAGTTCATCACACTCTGGTCCTTTAGGAGGTACCCTTATATTGCTTTCGTCACCACTGTTGATTCGCGCCGATTCTTGTGGAAGCATATGGAAGACAAGCAAGTTGTTGTGATTCGATTTTGGCTTTGTCCCGTTGATTTTCCACGTAACAGGCTCGGCTACGAACGTGTTGTTAGGGAGGCAATAAGCTATTTTAGTCGATTTGGCATAGTCCATCTTCTGCCCACGAAAGTCCATTATGAAATTGCCCTTGTCTGTTATAGTCAATCCGAAGGATAAATTTTTTGCTTTTGCGTCGAACTTCGTGTTGGTATTCCAAACGGCTAGAACTTCACCCACTAAAATAAAACAAAATAAGGCAGACAATATTCATATCCTTACTTGGATGGGCGTGAGCAAAGAATTTATTGTTGCAGGAAGTCCACGCAGCTTCAAGAGAAGTCCACCTCATACAATCTGCCGACTTTCCACACTCCTCCTGATTATGACAATCTTCCTTCTGATCATACAACGGTCCATTTACTTTCAACTTTGTGATGTTCTTGTCTCTTGTTGTGCTGTAGCCGAAGGGCAAACTAAAAATAAAATTTTAAGATATTATCCTCCCAAACAAAAGTAAACTTACAGATTGGCACTGCTTCCATTAAAAGGCAAATCTTCTGAAGAACATTTCCCCAGGCATTTTTCAATCCCTCCTTTGTTCTCCACACCAGTTTCCAACTTGATCATGTTGTGAAAACGCGAGAGCAAATCCACAGTGCAACCATTCTTCGCCGCTTTGCTTTCCTTTTTGTAGTGAAGCACGCTGAAAATGTCAAATTTATTTCAAAATTAGTTTGGAGGAGTTTACATGAAATTGCCTTCAAGAGTAACCTCACAGGCTCCAGGATGCTTCGTGTATAAACTAATGTTGTCCTTGTTGACTTCCTCGACTCGTTCGGCAAGAGTAACCATTTCATCCTTCAGCGTGTGATTGAAAAACCCAAAAGGATTCGTTGCTTCGGGAAGCTTAGTCGTGGTTGGTTCGGGAAGCTTAGTCGTGGTTGCCGTTGTTGTTGTTGATGGAGCGATGAAGTCTTCATTGGTCAACAAAATGTAGTTATCCGAATGCTAAATAGAAAAAGGGAAAGTTTGAGATTTTATAGGTGAAGATCCTTACAAATTTGATAGAAAGTTCATCACACTTTGGACCATCAGGAGGATCATCTTTTTTGATTTGTCCATCAATGTGTTTTCGAGATGCCTTTTGTGGAAGCATGTGGAAGACCAGCAAGTTCGTATCCGGAGGGCAACCATTCGAATTCAGCAGTGCTCCGTTGATTTTCCACGTGACAGGTTTGGCAATGCCTTCCTCTTTAGAGATGCAGAAAGCTCGATCCTCGGAATTGGAATAGTCCATTATTTCTCCATCAAAGTCCATTATGAAATTCCCATCCTTTGTTATATTCAAATTGAAAGACAATTCTGTATCATTTCTGTCGTAAATTTTATGCTGCCACCAATGTGCCTCAACTTCACCAACTAAAATAAAATTGCAAGATAAATAGTAATATACCATAACATACTTGGATGAGTGTGAGCATAGACTTTGTCTTTGTACTTGGTCCACGCAACTTCAAGAGAAGTCCACGGCATACATCTTCCACCATTATTATAACACCTCACTTTATCATGACATGTCAGCTTTTCTTTATAAATTGGTCCATTTGTTAATTCCATGATGTTCTTATCCTCTGTTGTGCTGTAGGCGAAAGGCAAACTAAAATAAAAGGCATTTTATTAGGTTATCACTCTAACTAAAAACTTACAGATTGTCACTACTTCCGTCAAAAAATCTTGATCTTTTGCATTTCCCCAGGCATTTTTCAATCACATCGCTGTGCTTTACTTCGGTTGTAAAATAAATCATGTTCTGAAGGTTGGTGAGCAAGTCCACTGTGCAACCATTCCTCGCCGCAATGCTTTCCCTTTTGTAGTGGAGTACGCTGAAAATGAAAAAATTTAAGACCATTATCAAGGAAACTCACATGAAATTGCCTTCAAAAGTAACTTCACAGGCTCCAGAATGATTCGTGTACAATTCCAGGTTGGTCTCGTTGACTTCCACGGTTCCCTCAGAAAGTGTAACCATTCCATCCTTCAGAGTGTGATTGAAAAACCCAACAGGGATTCCATCACCATCATCATCACCCTTAACCTGCCCGAGAAGAAACAAAAAAACCAAAGAAGCAAAGAGAGTTGGCAAAATGTTGGTAGTCGACGAGCGCAGAAATGAAGAAGACTTTATTGTTCCAGAACCGTCTTTAAACTCTTCTTGTCGAATTAAATAAAAGAACATTTTGTTTGTTATTGTTGTTTTGATGTTGCTTTGAACGTTGTTTTGATAATTGCTTTGAAAAAAATATTTTTGTTGAAAAGTGTAGAATAAAGAAAAGATAGGCTTTTATAGTATTTTAAAAGTTGGCGTTCTGACTATTTATATTTCTCTTTCACTGGTGACAGTCTTTTTTCCCGTAATCCTATTTTGAACTGTATCAGACAAATACGAATTGATTCGTGAATTACCGTGTTTATTCTAATAGAACGGCCTCTCCAATACATAGAATGGTCCCTTTTTGAGGGTATCGAAAAATAGAATGGCGGTCATTCTATTAGAATAAATACGGTATATATTATTTTGACTTCATTTTAGCCGGATTAGGATTTGGCTAATCCAACTTGCTCCACCTCATCCAATTAGTGACGTTTATTTTTAGAAATGTGGAAGCTTTCATTTTTGATGTGGATCATGTATAAACCGACGAAGTGATTTTATTTTGAGTGCTTGGTATAGGTTAAATAACCACAATCCACGTTCTTACATGCGATACGGGCCCTGATGGTTTCCATTTTTTATCGGCAATCTGTGAGGAAACTTTGCTGAACTTACAATGACCTACAGAATTTACTGTAGGTCAATGCTTTAATCATCAATGCTTAATAATTAGAGATGTCCGAGACTCTTGGTCTTGGTCTTGGAACCAAGACTTTTCTTGGTTTTTTTTCGGTCTTGGTCTTGGTCTTGGGGTGTTTGTCTTGGTCTTGTCTTGGTTTTATTTTTTGGTCTTGGTTTTTTTGGCCTTTTGGAAATCTGGTCTCTAGTTTCCAAAATTTTCGCCTGCGGCGCAAATAAGGGAAGAAATTTACTACTTAGACTTCCAAAATTCTCAAAATTTTCGCCTGCGGCGCAAAAAAGGGAAGAAATCTGGTGTTTGACCTTTCAGATTTTCCAAACTTTTCGCCTGCGGCGCTTAAACTACGTTTTACGTGATTTTGGGAGGGGGTTTGAGATTTGTAGAGATATCTGGTGATTTGGAGATATCCCCTCAATCCTCCTATATCCCTCAGATCCCTTGATCCCTCAATCCCCCTTAATCCTTCCATGACACGAGATCACTATCCATCCAAATTACTATTACTATCCCCTCGATAAAAATGAGGCCCGAAAAAAACTGTCGGGCCGATCCGAAAAAAATGAAGCCCGAAAAAGACTCGGTCGGGCCGGCCCGAAAAAATAAAGCCCGAAAATTGATGATTAAAATTTATTTTAAGCTAGATATAGTGGATTTTTTGTCTCGAGTCTTGTATTATTTTTGGTCTTGAGTCTTGGAGTTTTGGTCTTGGTCTCGAGTCTTGATCTTGGAAAAAATTTTGTCTTGGGTCTTGAGTCTTGGAAAAATTTCGGTCTCGGACATCTCTATTAATAATTTTAAAATTATTTTTTTTTCTAAAGGCAAATGAGAAAACAGCGAAGATTTGGATGTAATTTGATGTTCAGAGCCTTCCAATGCTGGGAGCTTTCGTTTTTGGCTCTGTCTAGAGGTAACAATTTTGCTTTTCTTCAATATCTACTAGATTATCAATGTTTTAATATTTTTAAAATTATTTTTCTACAAATCGAGTCAGCTCGAAGAGTTGAGTCTAACTAGAGGTGGGAGAAGTTGATGATACCTAGGGACTCCAGGGATGGGCGAAATCAAAAAATAAAAAGCGAAATGCGAAATGCGAAACTTTTTTTAAAAATATAAAATGCGAAATGCGGAATGCGAAACTTTTCGCGCCAAAAAATGCGAAAAATGCGAAAGATGCGAAATGCGAAAATGCGAAATTATTTAAAATTCAAAAAATTTTATTCATATTCAAAATTATAAATTACGAGATTATGATGCAAAAATAAAAGCATTTCTGCATTTTCTTGAATAAGACGTTTCCTCAGAATGGTTTTTTCACAGCGTTTTTTTGAAATGGTTTTTTCACAGCGCTCAAAAAGTGAAAAAAATTCATTAGTCCTCCTATTAAATCCTATTTTTAATGTCTGTTGCTGTGGCATTTTTGCTTTTCTTTTCGCTAAAAAATCATCATACAATTCTGGATGACTGCCACGTAAATGTGAGATTAAAAATGTTGTTGGCGCACGTGGCGGGTAGTTTTTTGAAAAACTACAACTTTTGCAGAACGCTACTCTTCCAGAAAGTGAGAAATACTTCCATATTAAAGACATTATAATTTTAAAAAATTTCTTAAAAATAAAAAAATACTTTAAGAAAAAGCGAAACAAATTTCGCATTTGGACCAAAAAGCGAAATGCGGAATGCGAAACTTTTCGCGCCAAAAAATGCGAAAAATGCGAAATGCGAAATCGCCCATCCCTGCTAGGGACCGAGATATGCTCTATTGAGAATCGAAAGACCAGAGGGAGAACCAAGCTCGTTTTTGGGTGAAAAATTAGAACTTGTAAATATATCGAGCTGAGTCGAATGACACCACATACGTCCATATCCGTCCACTAATTAAAACCCTCCTATAAGTGAAACTTTTCAGTATTTTTAATTATTTCCAAAAATTTATTTTTTTACTATTTTTACGCGCACAGTAAAAATAGTGCAAATAGAAAATATCAACAAAATAAAGAGATAAATTAAAATATAAATTGATTGAAAATAAAAAAAAATAAAATTCTATTTAGCGATGATTAATTGTTGTTGGCAGTCTCCCCTTCTTTTGTAAGTGCTCAACTTTTAAATTGTTACAACAATACCCAAAAAGTTTTAAAAATAATGCTCAAAACTTGAATTTATTTCTATCAGAATATAAGACATTTATTTCCATTTCCAAGTTTATTTTCTGATTTTAAGTGTATTTTATTTGTGTTTAATTCTGGTTTCTGTGTTTGTACTACATATGTTTTTTGTTTTAATTGTCTGTGTTTTAAATTCTGATTTTTGTATTTTATTTTTTAAATTTATATTTCTGATTTTTGTGTTTTCCCCTTTTATTCTTTCTTTTAAATTCTGATTTTTATTAATTCTGATTTTTGTGTTTCTGTATTTTCCTCCTTTTATTCCCCTTTCAAATTCAGATTTTTAAATTCTGATTTTTGTATTTTTGTGTTTTCCTCCCTCTATTCCTTTTAAATTCTGGTTTTTATTAATTCTGATTTTTGTGTTTTTGTGTTTTCCTCCTTTATTCCTTTTAAATTCTGATTTTTAAATTCTGATTTTTGTATTTTATTTTCCAAATTTATAATTCTGATTTTGTGTTTCTGTGTTTTTGATTTTATTATGTAATTCTGATTTTTGTATTTTATTTTTAATTCTGATTTCTGTATTTTTGTTTTTCCCTCCCTTTTGTCTTTTAAATTCTGATTTTTGTATTTTGTCATTAAATAATTCTGATTTAATTCTGATTTATAGTTTTATAATTTTCCGTTTATTAAAATCAGAATTTCATGGCAGTCTACCCAACATTTCCGTTGTATACTTTATTTCCTTTTCTTGTTGTGTTATTATTTATATCAACACCCTTTTGTGATTGCTTCCGTACACAATCCGCAGGCGTAAGGGGAACTTTAATGTGTGGAGGTGAAATTAAATTAAACTAAAAAATTCATTTTAATTTAAAAATTTCAGAAAAACCGTTAGCAGATACAAAGGTTGGGAAGGGAAAAATATTTTAAAAAATTAAAAAATTATTTAAAATAAAAAAATCCTTTTTTCAAGATAAAATTGTATGACCATGATAGAGGTGATTTTATTATTTTTTAAATTTTAATAGTCTATTACTGTATTCTCTCTGATTTATTAACCCTTCGATTTGAGTAACTCCTCTAGCTAAATAGCTCTAATAAAACGACAGCCTTTCTATTAGAGAGAATAGATAATATATTTAAAAAATCATTTATTTATAGGACCTGACCTGGATGGTAAAATAAAAATTATTTAATAATTCGAAAATGCTACACAGATTTAATGGCAACCACCAAAACAGACGCACGTGGAAGATTCCAGTTAAGTGGAAAAACAACAGAATTAACTACAATCGATGTACAGTTGAGGATTTTTCATGACTGTGATGACGGTAATTTTTAAAGTTTATCTTCTGGTTTTATTAAATTCTGATTTTCAATTTAATTTCTGATTCTATTTATTCCAAGTTTTAATTCTGATTTTTTATTAAAGTTTATTTTTTTGTCTCTGTATTCTGGTTTTATTCAAGTTTATTTTCTGTTTAACTTAATTTCTGATTTATTAAATTCTGATTTTTATTCAAGTTCAATAAGGTTTATTTTCGGGTTTTATTAAATTCTGATTTTAAATTTAATTTCTGATTTTTAATTCTGATTTCATCAAGTTTATTTTATTATCTCCTTACTCCAAGTTTATTTTCTGATTTCCTTACTCCAAGTTTATTTGTTTTATTTAAATTTCTGATTTATTTAAAAATTCTGTTTTTAAGTTGATTCTTTTTTCAAGTTTATTTTCTGGTTTTTAAATTCTGATTTTATTTATTTTTTATAGGAATAATGCCCTGTCAACGAAAAGTAACTTTTAACATTCCCGACTCTTTTGTAACCAATGGAGCTGTGCCTTCAAAATTTTTTAATATTGGAACTATTAATATGCAAATTGTCTTTGAAAATGAAGCTAGATCTTGTATTAATTAAAAAAATAAAGGAAAAAATTTTTTTTTAATTTTTTAAAATTTTTTATAAAAAAATATATATGTTTAGTACAGTGTAGAAAAACAAGAATTAAAATAAATTTGTAATTTTTACAAAATAAATTATACATTGTCTACTAAACTTTTACCCATATTAAGACTCCTTTTTACATTAAGGAGTCTTTATTTAACTTGAATATCAAATAAAAAAAATCTTAGCATGTGGAAATCCATTATATAAAAATATATAGTACAAAAATGAGATCAAATTTAAAAATATTTTAAAAGAATTAAAAATATCAATCTTAAATATTTTCTTGTTTGTTGTGCCATCTTAAAATGGTTTTGTAGAATTTGGATTTTTTGAAGGCATTATTATTTAAGAGAAATCGGAAGAGCTAAAATAAAAAGAAAAATTAATTCTGGTTTTGAATTATAATTTCTGTATTTTTATTCTGATTTTGTATTTTTATATTGAATCAGAATTTAGTTCAAAATTAAGTATAAAAATAAAATCATAATTAAATTATAAAATTAAAATAAAAAATTCTGATTTTCTGATTAAATTCTGAAAAAAAAATCCGATTTTTTCTAAAAATTCTGAAAAAAATTCTGATTTTTTCTAAAAAATTCTGAAAAAAATTCTGATTTTTTCTAAAAAATTCTGAAAAAAATTCTGATTTTCTGATTAAATTCTAAAAAAAATTTTGATTTGTTTGAAGAAACTTCTGAAACAAATTCTGATTTTATATTTTATTTTAATTTAATTCTGATATTTGTTTTTTTCTATTAATTTTAATTTTTTTATTCTGATTATTTAATTGTATAATTCTGATTTTATTCCTTTTTTTAAATATTTTTTTGTTTACCTTAAAAATCAAAAATAATTTTTTAAATAACCTACAATATTCAAAAGCACAAAAACAACCCCAACAATTACAATCACAATCCACCAGCAAAAATTTTGTGAAGAAGGCGGGGTTAATTGAAAAAAGTTGCGCAATCCAGGCAGATAAATAAATAAAAACAATAACAAAATGTTGAATAAAAATATACAAATCCACAAAATAATTAATTTTAGGCTAAAATTAAAATAACGATTTAAATATTTTTTAAATTCTGATTTTTTTATTCGAGTAATTCTGATTTTTGTATTTCATTTTTAAATTCTGATAATTAAATTCTGAAAATTAAATTCTGAAATAAAAATCAGAATTAAAAATAATTCTGTCGTGTATATTTTTATTTTATTCTGATTTTTGTATTTTTTTAAATTCTGGTACTTGTATTTGTGTTTACTATTTATTCTGATTTTTATTTGTTGTTTAAAATTCTGGTTTTTGTGTTTTCCGGAAACCTTTCTAATTCTGACTTTTTCAGAATTAAAAATAATTCTGACGTGTATTTTATTTAATTCTGATTTTTGTATTTTTTTAAATTCTGGTAGTATTTATTTGTATTTGTGTTTACTTTTAATTCTGATTTTTATTTGTTGTTTAAAATTCTGGTTTTTGTGTTTTCCGGAAACCTTTTAAATTCTGATTTGTGTTTTTCCGTTAAAATTTATTTAAATTCTGATTTTTGTATTTTCTTTTAAAAACACATTTTTCCAACCTTTTCAGAACATTTCCAGAAAACACATTAGTAAACCCAATACAAATCAGAATATGTAAATGTTGGGTAAAAAGTAAAGTAAAAAGCCAAATTGTAGAGGCCTCATTAAGGTTTAATTGTTGCCGTAAAATTGTTGAAGAAATTGTAGAATTAATCGGGAAAAAAGAAAAAAATTCTTTAACATCATTATTGGGTTCTAAATAAATATTTTGGGAATATAAAGTATTCCAATAATTAAATAATGAAGAAAATGCAAGCAATGGACTAGCCAATATTAAATTAAAATAAATTGTAGATAGAGAATGTTGATGGTGGTTATTTGACTTTAAAAAAATAAAATATTTTTAATTTTAAATTTCTGATTTTTAAAAAAATTCTGATTTTTGTTTCTGATATTGAATTAGTTCTGATTTTAAAAAAGTTCTGATTTTTTCTGACTGAAAATTCTGATTCTGAATTAACTCTGATTTTAAAAATTCTGGTTTTAAATTAATTTCTGACTTTTAAAAAATTCTGATTTTGATTCTGATTCTAAATTGATTTATATTTTTACATATTCTGATTTCCGATTCGATTCTGATTCTGAATTTGATTCTGATTTTCAAAAAGTTCTGATTTTTTTCTGACTGAATTTCCGGTTTTGGATTAATTCTGAATTAATTTTTTTTTCAAAAAAATTGTTTAATTAAATATTCGTTTAAAAATTTTTCCTTACATAAAAAGGAGTAAAAGCAAATTCAATACAATATTGTAATTGAAAGAGAAAAGCAACTAACACAATCTAAAAAATGTTTAAAAATTTAAAAATTAAATGAAAATTACATGTATTGGTAAGATTATTGGTGGAATGTCGGATAATGGACTGAGAAGAAAAGGTAATAAAAGAGCTGGCGCTTGGGAAAGTGTTAAGGACAATGACCTGAAAATTAAAAAAATTATTTAAGAAAGATTAAAAATAAAATAAAAATCAGAATTAAAATAAAAAATCAGAAATCGAGAGAAAACACAAAAACAAATAAAATCAGAATTAAAAATTAAAATACAAAATCAGAATTTTAAACAAACAAAAACAACAAAGTAGACCAGAACTTAAGAAAAACACAAAATTAATAAAACCAGAAAAAACCAGAACAGAATATAAACAATAAATAAAATCAGAAATAAAAATAAACAAAATCAGAAATAAAAATAAATAAAATCAGAATTAAAAGAAAACACAAAATTAATAAAATCAGAATAAAACCAGAACAGAATATGAACAATATTTAAAATCAGAAATAAAAATAAACAAAATCAGAATTAAAAGAAAACACAAAAAAATCAGAATTAAAATCAGAATAAAATCAGAACAGAAGATAAACAATAAATATTAAATAAATCAGAATTAAAATCAGAACAAATTAATTACCTAATTAAATTTATTTTCATCCCAACTCCATATTCTTTTATTCCAACAATTAATTTAACTAAACCACTTCCATCTTCCAAACATTTAAGTAAAGCATCAAAAGAATTGAAGGAATAATTATTTAATTTATTAGAATAATTAATTATTCCAATACTTAAATTTGCTTGTTTAATTGCTTGACTTTCGTTTATAGAATTTTGGACATCTCCAACAAAGGTGACTTTATGGCCAATTAATTGGAGTTCCTAAAAGAGTATTTTTGTATTTTTAGTGTTTTTGTATTTTTTTGTGTTTTTGTATTTTTGTGTTTTTGTATTTTTTTTTGTATTTTTGTGTTTTTTGTATTTTCGATGTATTTTTTGTGTTTTTGTGTTTTTGTATTTTCTGTGTTTTTTGTATTTTCCTTGTATTGTTCGTGTTTTTATTTTTAAATTATTATAAATTTAATAAATACCTTAATAATTAAAGTAATTTGTTCACATGACAGTTTGCTAAAGCTTAGAGGAAATTTATTTTTTACAAAATTATTTTTATTTGAATTGAATTGTTCAGCAAGTAATTGTTGTATTTCCTTTGTAGACATTTGTGAAAAGGATTCGCCTTTAAAAAATTGTTTTTAGATATGATTTTTAAATATTTTTGTATTTTATTTGTCTTTATATGCTTTTGCGGCTTTGCTTTTTGTATTTTTAAAAATAAGTTCTGATTTTCTGTCTTTGTCTATAATTCTATAAAATTCTGTTTTTGTGTTTTTCTGTATTTTTTATATAAATTCTCATCAGAATTTAAAAATCAGAATTATTAATATAATTCTGATGTTGTATTTTTTTAAATTCTGATTTTATGTTTATAGCAATAATTCTGATTTTAATTAAATCAGAATTATTTGTGTTTTTGTTTTATTATAAATTCTGATTTTTATAATTTCTGTATTTTGTTGGTGTTTTACTTTTTATAATTTAATTCTGATTTTTTATTTCCAGAATTAATTCTGTTAATTATTAAATCAGAATTTTTGTGTTTTTATTTTTTTACCATCAATTGGCCACTTAATATTTTCTTCTTCAAAAACTTCCAATTTTTCTTTAACATTTCCATTAATTATTTTATTATTCATTTTAGAATTAAATAATGTTGTAGATGTAGATATTGATGTTGTTGTGGATGTTGAAACAAAATCAACATTTTTCCGATTTTTTAAACGACGCAAAAGTTGATTTTGAAGTTGGTGAAGAAATGAATTTTCCTTTAAATTATTTAATAAATTAATGTTTGTGAGGAATATTAATTTCAAAATACTTGTAAATACATTTAAAAATCAGAATTTAAAAATAAAAAATCAGAACATAAAAATTCGAAAAAAAATCAGAATTAAAAAGTGAGAAAAAAAACAGAATCTCTAAATAAACACAAAATCAGAATTTAGAAAAATACAGAAATCAGAATTTATAACAAAAACACAAAACCAGAATTTTAAAAATACAAAAATCAGAATTTCTAAATAAACACAAAATCAGAATTTAAAAAATACAAAATTCGGAATTTTAAAAAATACAAAAGTCAGAATTTCTAGATAAACACAAAATCAGAATTTTAAAAAATACAAAAGTCAGAATTTCTAAATAAACACAAAATCAGAATTTATAACAAAAACACAAAATCAGAATTTATAACAATAACACAAATCAGAATTAATAACAAAAACACAAAATCAGAATTTATAACAATAACACAAATCAGAATTAATAACAAAAACACAAAATCATAATTTTAAAAAACACAAAATCAGAATTTAAAAAACGAAAGTCAGAACTTATAAACAAACACAAAACCAGAATTTTAAAAAATACAAAAATCAGAATTTCTAAATAAACACAAAATCAGAATTTATAACAAAAAACACAAAACCAGAATAAATAGATAAAACACAACAATTAGTCAACTAAAAACACAAAAATACAAAATAAAAATTAAAACCAGAACACAACAACTAGGCATACTTTAAACAATTTACCTTATTATTTTCATTATTCCCCCTCTCCATATTATTTTCAGAATTTTCAATTTTAGCTGTTCCATTCCCAATAAAAGGGCAATTATTAAATATGTTGTTGTTAATTAATTTTTGGGGTCCTTTAAATTAAATAAAATTTTTTTAAATTTATTTTTCAACTTTTTTCATTTAATTCCATTATTTTAGCAATTAATAATGCTGGGTGCTCATCTCCTATAAAAATCATTTTTGGGCCATTTTCAATTAATTTATCCAATTTATTTAAATATTTAATATTTAAAGGAGCATCTTCGAAAGCAAATAATCCAACAAAACAAAAATTTTTATTTTTTAAGTTATTTTGGTTGTTATTTTCGTTAATTGGTGGGGGTGTTGAATTAACTGCTAGGGCCAGACAGCGTTTTCGTTGGACACAAAAACGGAGAAATTGTTCCTGAAATATTTAATTTTTGATTTTTTAAAATTTTACTAAAATAAAAAAAAGTACAAAATAATTTTTTTGATTGTTAAAAAAATTTTTTAGGTCTTTCAATTATTTTACTGCTAAGTAACGTTTATGCCCGAAATCAAAAATAAAATTGTCTAAAATAAACCTATAAGCCTGAAATTTTGTAATTTGAAACACAACACTGTTAACTTGATATTCTGAAAATTTCAGAATTTTAAATTAAATATTTTTAGAGTTGTGTCAGAATAATCAACAGAAAACAGCATTTTTCTGGTAGTACTGACACATTTTCAACCAGAACTTGGGAAATACAGAACCAAAAATTCTGAAATTTTTAGAAAAGCTAGTTTACTATAGTAGCTAGATTACTCCAAAATTTCATTATTATAGAACAAAAATGGACAATTCTATAAATTCGCATAGAAGCGTGTACCGGCACCTTAACAAGTTGGTAAAATAAGACCAGAATTAATTTAAAAATTTTCTGGTTTTTTTAATTTTAAAAATTCAAAAAAAATTCACTTCAAATTCCATCAAATGTTCTTCTCTTAAATCAACAAAATTATTCTCATTATCCGAATTATTATTTTCATTATTTTCTTCTTTAATAAATGAACACATTCCAAAAATTCCTTCTGGGGGACCAATTAAAGCAATTTTGTTTTCTTCGTTTAAGCATTCATCTAGCGATATTCCTAATTCTTTGGTATACTAAAAAATACAAATTTTAATTTTAATTTTAGGAAAATTAAAAGCTTTAGGCAAAACTTGAAAAATACCACAAGGTCACCTAATAATTCGCTTTATTTTAGGGGGTCATTTTGTGGGGGGGGGGGGGGGGGGGGGGTCATTTTCGCTCCCAGCCGCCGAATAACCTTTTGCTCTAGCTAAAGGAGAGAAATAGCTATAGCCCAGCTGCTTTACTGGTAGCACCGGATGGTTCAGCGGACGCTGAACGTATGACGATCCATTCCATAGGCCCTGGGTTAGAGAAAGGAAATTCCGCCAGAGAAGGCGATGATTAAGCTACCCCGCAGGTGAGAGAAAAAGCGGGAAGAGGGCAGATAAGAAGACTAGGGACAGTCTTCCCTGGGGATGGAGGTGTAAAGCATATAGCTATTAATTTCCTAAGGCTGAGCAGTAGGCGGCGTGGTGTAATGGCTAACACATCAGTCCGGTCTACTGAAGATGCTGGTTCGCTCCCAGCCGTCACCTTTTGTACTAGCTAAAGGAGAAAAATAACATAGCTATATATTAGCATAGCTATATATTATTAATTTTCCTTCCATTAACCATAAATTTAAAAAATAACAGGTCCTCTCTAAATTTATTTTTCCACCAAATTCGACCCTTTTCTAATCAATAAAAAATAAAATTTTTAAGAAATACCCACCTTAAGCAAAGCAGAATATTCAGGTTTTAATTGAGTGTAATCACAATTGTTAATTCCATTATCTTCCAAAGGTAAATTTTTCAAAATTGCAGAGACACCCATTTTTATAAATTTAATAGTTTGGTTATCAAGATATTTTGGGAAAGTCTGGAAATTTAAATTTTTGTTTTAAACTCCAATTTTTTCTCAAACCTTTGTAGAAATATGCCGATTATTTTTTTCACTAGCCATCCAAATATCTGAGAGGAAAGGCTGATTTCCTCCTAATAAAGAGTTACTATGGATCTGTTGAAAAATTATGAGAGATTATTTAAATTATAGTAGTACCTTATAATAAAAACCCTAAGGGCTGAAAAATCAGATAAACCAGCTTAGACTACGCTTGCATAAAAATATCATTTGATTGTTTTTTATCTTCATATACAATGGCGGACATTTATTAAAAATTTTTCTTGCCATATTTTCTAGGTTTGCTAAAAAATTTCCCTTGTGTATTTTTGTACCAGTATTTATTATCTATTAAATGGTTAGCAACGCCTTGGCACCGAGTATCTTGTCGCAATCTTGTGATTATGTAATCTTGTCGCAATTAGGCAGCTCTCCTACACCTAGTAGTATTTGATGTGGTAACTTATATTGAGGCCGGGTCTATTCAATTATAATTGACAATTAGGATTGCTACAACCTTATTAAGAATATTAAAAAGTACAGCCAGCCTTTAGGCTGAAGACAAATTTTTGATAAGGTAACCGACTCTACTTAAGGATTAAATAAACTCACAATTAAGATACAATCATTTCCCATTATTCCCCCTCCATTTAAAAAACAATTTTTATTTTGTTGTTTTTTAATAAATCTAAATTCTGTTGGATTGTTTTTCTCTTTATTACAAGCAAGATAACGTTGAGAATACCATTGTCTAATTAATAAAGTTAAGGGTAAAGCGTAGGGAAGTGTAGAGATGAGTAGAGCAATAAATGTACAAACAAAGGGAATTAATAATTGGATTGAGTTGTGGTACCAGTTGGCTAGAATAAATAAATAATTTAAAATAAATAAGTACCATAAATGCTATAATTAAAGCCACTCTAGAGCTCCAAAAACCTTATATAGTACACTCAAAAAGACCCATTGAAAAAAAACACTCCCAATGCTTTAATTATACAATAATATTGAAAATTTAGCGTCCGGATATTTCCAATTTTTATTAAAAACTGTGACTGTATGGAGGAAGAAAATTGGGGACAGAGCATTTTATGAGTTTAAAATCAGTTTTTGAATTTTATAAAATTTTTAAATTTATTTAAAAAAAATATATTTGTCCTCTTCATTTGAACGGTCATCTTTAATAGGTCCCTTGAAGGGTGATAGAAAAATAAGTAGGGTGCCCAGCCACTAAATTAGAGAAAATACGCTAAACAAATTTTTTTAATCCTATGAACTACATATCAAATTCTTACTTTCATTATTATCAATATCATTCGAAGGCAACAACAAAAACAAAGAATAACCAAAAGCTAAGGAAGCAATCAACGAACATAAAGCGGCTATACAAACAGTTGGCCAACCAAACAATAATTTTAATTTATTTTTATTTTTATTTTTATCATATCCCTCTTCTTTATTATTATTATTTTCCTTAGTTAATGTAGTTGATGTTAAATAATAGGGAGGGGGAGAGATATTTTTAATTGTTGTTTTGGTTGATGTTTTAGAAGCAAGTTTTGATAGAAGCTAAAAAAGTTTGTGTTTTTATTGGAAAATTTAAAATTCTGATTTTTGTATTTTATTTATTCTGATTTTTGTATTTTTATATGTTCTGATTTTTGTATTTTTATTTGTTCTGATTTTTGTATTTACAAACTAGAGCTTATTGTGATATAAAATTCTGATTTTTGTATTTTATTTATTAATTCTGATTTGTTATTTTTGATTTAATTCTGATTCTTAATTCTGATTTGCATTTTTAGTTAAACCAGAATGTTTTAATTTTAAAATTCTGATTTCTGTATTCTTATTCTGATTCTTGTATTTTTAATTGAAATTCTGATTTTTATTTATTCATTTGTTCTGATTTGTATTTTTTAATTAAAACATTTTATTGTAATTTAAAATTCTGATTTTTGTGTCTCTATTTTAATTCTGATTTTAGTATTTTTCAATTAAAATAATAATTTACCGTCTCCTCCCTAGTCCTTAAAACAATACAAAAAGCCTCTCCATTTAAACATTTAAAACCAGCAAAAGCTATATTTCTAGCTTCAAGGACATTTAAATGATTTGGTGATGTTTTTGCTATTAATTCTATTATTATATTATTTTCTCCCAAATTTTGTTGTTGTTGAAGAATACAACTTTGATTAACAAGAAAAGGTTCTTTCAAAACATGCTGAAAATGGAGGGAATGTGTATTTTTTGTATTTTTTCGTATTTCTGTATTTTTTTGTATTTTTGCGTTTTCTGTATTTTTGTGTGTTTTGTATTTTCTGTATTTTTTGTGTTTTTGAATTTAAAATTTTAACTAACCAAAATTCTACAATCAACAGGCACTCTCTGTCCACTCTTTAATTTAATCAAATCTCCAGGCAAAATTTCTTTTTCAGATATTTTCACTTCTACACCCCCACGTTGTGCTATATAATATTCAAACAAACGCTTAGTTGATTTTTTTAATTTTTCAGAATTTAAATCAATTAAATATTTAGAAGGATTAAAAATTTTAGAAATAATAAAAATTCCAAATAAAAATATAATTTGAATTAGTAAAACGGAAATTATTGAAGAAATTATTGGTTGAGTAAAGAAATGTTGTAGTTGGTGCATTTGTTGTTTGTTGCCTGTTGTTGTTCTGAAAATGTATTTTTTTAATTAATTATTCTGAATTTTTATTCTGGTATTTTATCTTTTGTGTTTCATGTTTCTTTTACTTTAATTCTGATTTTTGTATTTTAGCATTTAATTTAAAATTCTGATTTTTACTAATATGTACTAATTCTGAATTTTTATTCTGGTTTTGTATTTTTTGTGTTTTGCCTACTTTAATTCTGATTTTTGTATTTTAGCATTTAATTAAGATTTCTGATTTCTGTATTTCACTCTTGAAAAATTAAAATAATTCTGATATTCTGAATTTGTTAATTCTGATTTTTTGTGTTTTATTTTTTGTATTTCTGTTTTGTATTTTTTGATTAATTCTGATTTTTTCCCTCTCTATTTATTTTATATTTCTTTTACTAAATTTAATATTCTGATTTTTGTATTTTTGTCACATGATAAATTAATTCTGATTCTGAATTTGGTATTTCTGATATTTTTGTGTTTTTGTATTTTACTTTAAAAACACATATTTTCCAACTTACATATTAAATTCAGTAATTATTCCATTTTCTTTTTCAAAATCATAAAATAAAGAAAATAAAAGAATTAAAAAATAAATAATTATGGAAATTAATAAAATTAATTGAAATGGATTCTGAAGAATATTTAAATTTAAAGGTTTTGTTGTTTTATTGCGCAACTTTAACAAACGTTGTTTTCTTCTAAACTTTATTTTATCTTCCAAACGAAGTTGGGCTTCTTCCTTTAAAATAAATATTTTTGTAATTCTGTGTTTTTGCATTTTTGTATTTTTTTTGTGTTTTGTGTTTTTCTGTATTTTTTGTATTTTTTTGTGTTTTTTGTATTTTTTTGTGTTTTTGTATTTTTTTGTGTTTTTTGTATTTTTTTGTGTTTTTTGTATTTTTTTGTGTTTTTTGTATTTTTTTGTGTTTTTTGTATTTTTTTGTGTTTTTTGTATTTTTTGTATTTTTTGTGTTTTTTTGTGTTTTTTATGTTTTTGTATTTTTAAATTTTATTTTTTTAATGCGTTAAGGACCTTTGACATTCCTCGACTTGATAGTACATTTTCAGGGCAAATCCTCGCCAATGGGAATAAATCCGCCAGCTGACTGGGGGTTAGTGCATGTTCTGTGCACTGACGGAGTAATAACTGTAAAAATTCTAGAGATTTTTTTATAATTATTTTCTGTGTTTTTCTTGTTCCTGTCTTTTTGTATTTTGTTCTTTTTTGTATTTTGTGTATTTTTGTGTTTTTTATGGTTTCGTATTTCTGTGTTTTTTGTGTTTTTCTTATTTTCCCATTTTAATTTTAAACTTATTTTTTTCCAAACCTCAAGTTGATCTATTTTCACTGCTTTATTTTCCTTTTTATCCCTCTCTTCATTAAAAACAAAAATTTTATTTTTATTCAAAAAATTATTCCAAAGCATTTCTGAATTAAAAAAAATATTTTTTTAAATTAATTTTTACGGAAACAAAAAAAATAAAAAATAAATAATTGGTTAGGACAGCGTAAATTAAGTGTAAATTTATTTCAATAAAATAATTGTGATTGAGAGAACAATTGAATTGAGACGAAACAAAAAATAATAACAATTTTAGAGCGGGATTATTAAATAAAAATGTGAAAGAAAAAATGAGAAGAAAGGGGAAGGGAAATTAAATAATTTTTTAAAAAAATGTCCTATTAGTTTATAAAATCTGAAAAAGTTATTTGAAAAATTTTTTGGGAATTTTTTGGAGTAGGTTAGGGTATCGGAGTCCAATGTACCGCTGAGTTATAACTTGGTTCAAAATTATTGAATCACGGACGACTTGGCATGGTTCGTGCGCCACGAGTTGAATCGAACAATACTAAGGCGTCCCGGATCCGATAATTTTGAATAAAGCTCGGCGGTACATCGGGGGGCATACTACCAATTTTTTGAAGGAAAAGAATTTAAAATACAGTCGAACATTTGGACTCTGAAAATTTCTCCCATAACAAGGTGTATCATATAGAGATGGGGCATTGCTTAGGGAATATCAAATAGCTAGTCAAATTTAACAAAACGTTGAGATTAAATTGAAAATTTTCTTGAAAGGTGTATATGCATCTTATAATATTTGTGTTTTAAATAAAAAATTTTATTGAAAAAATTTTTTTTGGGAGAAAATAGGGAAATACGGTCGAAATTAAATATAAAATATATACCCTGAATTTATCTTACCTATATATTCCTACATTAAAAATATTAATTAAATTGAAACATTAATTTAATTACTTCCTTGTCTACATACTCGTCAAACATTTAATTAATTTTTTGATTAATTATGAAACAAAAAATAAAAACAAAATAAGTTAAAAATATTTTTTTATTTTTTTCTACTTTTAACATTTTAATTTTAAATTAAAAAAAAGAAAATTTTTAATTATTTTTTTGTTACTAAATTTAATTAAAGGGGCATACATATGATTCAATTAAAAATTAAAAATTAGGTAGGTATTTTTATCTATTTTTGGTCAAATTATTTTTTAGAATTTTTTTAATTAAAAATAAATAAAAACACAAAAAATTCTTCCCCTTTTAGCTCCCTTTTTTTGATAATTGATAAAAAAAATATTTATTTTTTAAAGGAGAGGAAAGGAGAAAAGCACGCGCGAAAAATAATTTCTAACAAAATTTGAAAGTAAAAAAGAAAAAAAATAAATTTAAAAATAAATCGGTGCTCCAGGCAAGGTTTTTTAATTTTCATTTTGTTTCTTTACATTATGCGAAAATAAAAGAAAATAGAAGAAATACAAAAATAAATAAAATACAAAAATCAGAATTAAAATACAACCTTTTACAAATCAGAATTATTTTTATAAAAATCAGAATTGTTAATTCTGATTTTTATTCTGTTCAAAAATTTTCGTTTTTATTATTTTTATTCTGATTATTTTTGATTTATTTTATTTATTAATTCTGATTATTATTAAAAATCAGAATTATCAATTGTTTATCTGTAAAAATAATTCCGATTTGTAAAAATAATTCTGATTTGTTTTCTGAACATTTTACAAATCAGAATTTTGTAAAATTAAAAATTATAAAATAATTACACATCAGAATTATGAATAAGAATTTACCCACAAATAAATTAATAAAAATACCCAAATAAAATCAGAATTTTAATTTTTATTTTACAAATCAGAATTATCTTTATTACCAAATAATTTTCTACCTAGCCTTTTTAAAGTCCAAAAATTAAATTTAAAAAAAATAAAAAAAATTTTTTTTATTTTTCAGGGTTATCTTGAAAATAAAAGAGGAAAACAGCCTTGAAAAATATTTAAATAAAAAAAAATAAAAAAAATCAAAAGAGTTTTCTTTTTGGCAATTTTATTAGTACAATTAAACTAATCAAAAAAATATTTTTATTAAAATAAATGAACAGTTTTTATTGAATTTTTATTGAAAAATTTCCTTAAAATTGATAACATTAATTAAATATGACAACACAAAGTTCAAACAAAAATTAAAAAAAATTTTAAAAAAGTGACAAAAAATAAATATAAAAATTGAAGAAAGGAAGATTTAAAAAATTTTTCTCGACATGAAAAATTTTTTTTAAATATTTTTTGTGGAAAGGTATAAATGAAAAAATTTTGTATATACTAGGAGGAAGGAATTTATTCAAAAATAATACATAAAATCAGAATTTTTTTTCAATTTTTAATTTATTGAGTAAACCACAGAGTACAAAATAAATTAAATAACAAGACTGAAAACTACCTATGTATAAAATTGAAGCAAGTATTTTTTATTGAAGAAGCAAATCAGAACTTTTTATATCTTAATTCAAAAATAATAAAATGATAAATGTCTATAGCTCGTCGTACCCGTGTCCGCAAAAGGCATTCTGCCTAAAATAATTTTTTGCTGCATTCAACTCTTTTTCCTTTCTCCCAGAGGTGAATCGGGAATGACGAAGGTGCCGGAAATCGGAACTGTCGGAAATCGGAAATTTTTCCAAAATTTCGGAAATCGGAAGGAAAAAACGCCGAAATCGGAATTCCGTTTCACCTCTGCTTTCTCCTTTTCCCTTGGATTATCAAAAATGATTGGTTGAAATTTTAGCGCAGCAGAGGGAATGGACATGTATTTATGTTGAAATTTAATACAAACAGAATTAAAATTTAATTCTTGCTACGAAAAAATTTTTAATAAAGATTTTAAACATATTTTTAAATAAAAAAATCATTTTTTAATTCGAGAGAAAAATTTTGGGAGGGATAATATACATAAATACATACAATTCTTCTCCACTGGCCACCCATGCAGAACGGAAACCTTTATGTATAGGGGATTTTTAATTGTTCTTGTAAAGAGGATACAACTTGAATTTTATTTCAATGATATCACTCTTAAATTTCAAAAAATTGTTAAAAAATTAAAAAAAAAATTTTTTTAGAAAATTAAGACAAGGTATATCTTAGAATAAGGGAGAGGGAGGTGTCGTTTATCGTACTTTCTCGATTAATTCCTCATTCTCGATTAATTCCCAGTCCCAGAAATGGACCAAAATAATAATTCTCCACCCTCAAATAATTCCTCACTCTCTCAACCCCCAAGGGGAATTAATCAAGAAAATACGGTAAGCAGTATTCAACCTCACGCTTAGGGGGTAATTAACCGAGAGAAGGGAAAATTATTCCAGGAAGGGCAATTGATAGAGGCCTTACAGTATCTAATTTAGGTATCGAAAAATGTGGATTCGACAGTTTTTTAAATTATTAAATTTAATAAAAAAATAATTATTTATTTATTTTCAATAAAAAATATTAGAAAAAAAAACAATTTGTACGCAAATATTCTTTCCTCTTCTACTTATTTTATATTCGTCAATCCCCTTATATCAATCCACTCTCTAATATCCTCCCTCCATTTTTCCTTCGGATCCGGTCTTCAATCGCCGCGTTGTCGAATAAGGGGGAAGGGAAAGGAAGGAGAGATGAGCGTTCATAATCACAAATCGCGCACTCAACAATAATCAAAAAATAAAAGAGGAGGTGGACTAAACAATGAAAAAAAATAAATTGGAAGGAAAAAAGAGAGAGAAAGGAGATTAGCACCGGAAGAAAAAATTTATTTAAAAAAATAAAGGAAATAAATAAAATAAAATAAAATTTTTTTAAATGGGAGGAAGGAGGTGAAGGGGGAGGGGAATTTAAATTTAAAAAAAAATTTTAAAAATTTTTTAAAGAAAAAAAAAGAAAAGAAAAATGCAAAAGAAAAATAAAAGGTGATTTTTCAAATGAAAATAACAATTAAAAAAGTTTTAAAAAATTTACAAAAGTGATTCATCCAAGTTGCCAAAAGTAATTGTGAAGGAAAGAAACAAAAACAGAAAGAACAATAAATTAATGAATAAATAGAAAATACAAAAATCAGAATTTAAAAAAATAAAATACAAAAATACAACTTTTTACAAATCAGAATTATTTATTATAAAAATCAGAATTATTAATTCTGATTTTATTCTGATTAATTTAAATTCTGATTATTTATTAATACTGATTATTATTTAAAATCAGAATTAATAAATTGTTTATTTGTAAAAATAATTCTGATTTGTTTATTTCACAAATAAGAATATTGTAAAATAAAAAATTAAATCAGAATTATTTATTCTGAATTAATTCAGAATTGTTAAGAAGTTACTAATAAAATCAGAATAATTATTTCAGAATTATCACTTATTTGTTTCTGCATTAAATCAGAATTATTAATTCTGATTTGTAAAATAATTTCAGGAT